TGCATTCAGGGCTTAGGGGTTTGGGGTTTGGGGTTTGGGGTTTGGAGTTTGGGGTTTCGGGTTTAGGGTTTAGGGTTTAGGGTTTAGGGTTTAGGGTATGTGTTTCAAGCTTCAGGAATGGAGTTTGGGTTTCAGGGCGTAGGGTCTCGGGGTTTATGGTTTTAGGGTTCCAGGTCTAGGGCATGGGGTATTTGGGCTTTAGGGCTTTAAGGTTTGACAGCGTGGGTTCAGGGAACCAGGCCAAAGACACCAAAACCTCAACCTGAATCCCTAAACGCCTGACTCCCAAAACCCCAAGTCCTGAGGCCCCAAAAACACCAAAAAACCGAGGATAGGGTTTACTTAGTACTATTAGGGCTTAGGGCTTAGGGCTTAGGGCGTAGGGCTGAGGGCTTAGGGCTTAGGGAGGGCTTAGGGCTTAGGGCTTAGGGCTTAGGGCTTAGGGCTTAGGGCTTAGGGCTTAGGGCTTAGGGCTTAGGGCGTAGGGCTTAGGGCTTAGGGCTTCGGGCTTAGGGCTTAGGGGCTTAGGCTTATAGCGGCTTAGGGCTTAGGGCTTAGGGCTTAGGGCTTAGGGCTTAGGGCTTAGGGCTTAGGGCTTAGGGCTTAGGGCTTAGGGCTTAGGGCTTAGGGCTTAGAGCTCAGGGCTCAGGGCTTAGGGCTTAGGGCCTGGGGCTTAGGGCTTAGGGTTTGGCTCAACACTTATGTAGGGCCCAAAAAAAGGATCAGCGCAACTCTGAATCACCCAACCCTGAACTCATGACCCTAAGTCTTTTTACAGTCCTCTTGACTGGCCTTGTGTAGGTTACCCCAACTACAAGTGTGCTTCTAGCTCTACTTACAACTAGTTAGTAAACCCCAAGCTCTCAAACCCAAAAACCAAAGCCCAAAACCTCTCAGCCAACCCAAAACCACTCAACCCTTCAACCCTGTCAACCTATCAACCCTTCAACCCTTCAACCCTAAACCCTAAACCTGAACCCTGAGCCCTTCGACCCTTCGACCTTTCAACCGCAAAGACTGAAATTCAAAACCTCTAAACCCAAACCCTTCGACCCTGACCCCCCCCCCCCCCCGCCTCAACCCCGAACCCTAAACCTCTAAACCCCCTAAGCTCCCCCAACCCTAAACCCTAGTAACCCAATGACCCAATAAACCAGTAACCCTGAACCCTAAACCCTAAACCCTAAACCCTAAACCCTAAACCCTAAACCCCTCAACCCCCTTCCCGCCCCTGGGAGGCGCCTTTCTGGGCCTTCTGCGGCTTCTTCCGCTTCTCTGCAGCCATGGCTTTCCGCCACGGCGACGTCGGCTCCGAAGCCCAGGTTCTTGGGTTTAGGGTTTAGGGTTTAGGGTTTAGGGTTTAGGGTTTAGGGTTTAGGGTTTAGGGTTTAGGGTTTAGGGTTTAGGGTTTAGGGCTTAGGGTTTGCAGGTTTCGGACGAAAAGCAAGAAACACAGGCTGGGGTAGAGGAAAGATTCCTCCGCGTGCCGCCCTTCTCACTCCAAACTGCTGCGCGAGGTGGGGAGGGGTTCAGGGTTTAGGGTTTTAGGGTTTAGGGTTTTGGGGTTTTCGGGTTGAGGGTCCAGGGTTCAGGGTTCAGGGGTTAGGGTTTGAGTGCAGGGTTCACGGTTTCGGGTTTATGGAGGTTTCGGAAATTACGGGTGCCCTTGTGGGGAGTTCCGAGAGATAGGGTTCTAATATGGGAGTAACAGTAGGATGGCTTAGTCCAGCCCTCTACACCCTCTAAGCCCTGCAAGCCCTCTAAGCCCTCTAAAGCCTCGAAACCCTCTAAAGCCTCTAAACCCTAAACCCTAAACCCTAAACCCTAAACCCTAAACCCTAAACCCTAAACCCTCAACAATCTCAAGTCCCAAACCCTAAAGCATTGAAGCCGGGGTCTGAGGGCTACGAGCTGGCGTATACCCAAAATCCCCAAAACTGGGTTCGACACCAGGGACCTTACTGTGGGCTCAGGGTTGGATTTAGGGTTTGGGGTGTAGGGTTCGGGGGTTTAGGGTTCGTGTTTCAGGGTTTAGACTTAGGGTTTAGGGTTCGATGCCTAGGGTGTTGAATTTGGGTTTAGGGTTTGGGCTTTAGGGTTTAGGCTTATTTAGGCTTATTTAGGCTTATTTAGGCTTATTTAGGCTTATTTAGGCTTATTTAGGCTTATTTAGGCTTATTTAGGCTTATTTAGGCTTATTTAGGCTTATTTAGGCTTATTTAGGCTTATTTAGGCTTATTTAGGCTTATTTAGGCTGCTTTAGGCTTATTTAGGCTGCTTTAGGCTTATTTAGGCTGCTTTAGGCTTTAGGCTGCTTTAGGCTTTAGGCTGCTTTAGGCTTTAGGCTGCTTTAGGCTTTAGGCTGCTTTAGGCTTTAGGCTTTAGGCTTTAGGCTTTAGGCTTTAGGCTTTAGGCTTTAGGCTTTAGGCTTTAGGCTTTAGGCTTTAGGCTTTAGGCTTTAGGTTTTAGGCTTTAGGCTTTAGGCTTTAGGCTTTAGGCTTTAGGCTTTAGGCTTTAGGCTTTAGGCTTTAGGCTTTAGGCTTTAGGCTTTAGGCTTTAGGCTTTAGGCTTTAGGCTTTAGGCTTTAGGGTGGGCCCCTTCTGTAGCCCATAAACCTCATAAAGCCCCCAAAATCCCATACTTCAGCACTCATTACAAAAAGCTAGGAGGCCCACATGAACGACCATGCACAAAAAAGCTAACTTACTTGGAGGTTCGAAAGAGGGTCTATGTACCCTGAACAAGGCTGCAACTACGTCTGACTACAGCTGCCCTACTTACAAATGCCTGTGGGCCCAAACCCTAAACCCCAAACCCCAAACCCCAAACCCTAAACCCTGGCCTGCACCCTAAACCCTATCCCTAAAGCCTAAACCCTAAACCCCAAAACCCTAACCCCTAAACCCTAGACCCTAAACCCTAAACCGTAAACCCTAAACCCTAAACCCCAAACCCATTCTGTTTCCCTCCGGCGCCAAAATGGGAATCCGATATCCAAGCAATTCTCAGAGGGGGCGACCGTTGGAGAACTTGGGCTTGGGGGAAGGCTTAGGGTTTAGGGTTTAGGGTTTAGGGTTTAGGGATTAGGGTTTAGGGTTTAGGGTTTAGGGTTTGGGGCTTGGGGCTTGGGGTTCGGGGTGTAGGGTGTGGGTTTCGGGCTTTGGTTTGATGGTGGACCTGAAATGCGAACTTTAAACATCTACATGGTTTAGGGTTCAGGGTTCAGGGTTTAAGGTTTTGGGTATAGGGTTTAGGGTTTAGGGTTTAGGGTTTAGGGTTTAGGGTTTAGGGTTTAGGGTTTCTCGGTGACGGTCATTCTTTGTCGAGATTGAAGCACGAAGAAGGGGAGATGAAGCCCTATATCTTTGGTGGGAACGGCGAATAGGGGCCTGTTCTAGAGCTTAGGCTTTAGTATACAGGCCTACGCTATTAAAGTGAGCATTTTGGGCAACGTACATCTTGCCTACGTAGGGATTGTAAGAGGATAATTGGATTTTGTTTAGCCTCCAGCGCTAAAAGGCAGTTGGTGTTCGATCTTAGATTAGACACCCAGCCCAATCCTACTTGTGATCAATTAGAAGGTGAGGCTTGGGGGTTTTTGGATTTGGTGGATGTGAGAGTTGGGGCGTGGTGGGCAACAAAAATCGGGATCTCCACGGCAGACAGTCGTCCCAGGAGGGGGTGTGCTACGCTATACGTCTTCACTCTGCAGTTCGACCCTTCATTCATATCTCGACCTCGTTTGGATGCTCAGAGGAACAGGTAGCTCCTGAGACGCCGGGTAGTCCCTTAACCCTAAACCCTTAACCTTTAAACCTTAAACCCTAAACCCCGTAATCGCAACAAGAGCCCTCAAACCCGACAGCCTCAAGCCTCAAGCGTCAACCCCAACCCCGAAGCTAGACACAAGCCCAAAATCTAAGGGTTGTTACATTGTCTTAGTATGGGCCCTTTAAACGGGGTTATATAGCCCTTATATACCCCTTAAATACCCTGTACAAATTAGGGGCCCATACATCAGAACCCTTGAAAGGAGGTTGCAGGACATATTATTAAGGGCCCATGCAACTGCCCTTTAACTAAACCCTGCACCGAAGCGAAAGTGCCCACTAAAGGCATCACTTTAAGAACAGTTTCAGCCGTCTTCCGGGCACAGTACCTTGTGCAACGAGCCTGCTAGGGCCAAGGGTTTAGGGTTTGATGGACGGCTGTTCCAAGTAGAGCTATGGCTATAACTACTTAGAACTATAGCTGCTCTCCACCTAACCTCAGTGTTAACTACCCATAGACCCCCAAGTAAGGGGCCTGTCTTGGTAGCCCGGAAACCATATTGCAATAAGGACATCTGTTTTGGGGTTGGTTACTTTATAGAACTTAGAACCCCAAAAAGGAAAAAGTGCACCACTGGGCTACCAAGTAGACGGCTTGCACAGGGTGAATGTGATGGGGAGGGCTCTCCAGAACTGGCTCAGACTGAACCCAGAAAGTCGAAAGCACACGAAGGTTCTTTCTGCCGCTGTGGCTGAGAGCTTGAGGGTTCAGGGTTTAGGGCTTAGGGCTAAGGGATTAGGGTTTAGGGTCTCGGGCAGGGTTTGGGCTACTGCTCGCTCGTGGTACGATTTAGGGAGTCTCAAAGAACATGGTTTCGAGCCAAACCTCAACCCTAAAAGCTGAACCCTAAGCCTCAACCCTAAACCCTAAACCCTGACCCAGGAGTAACCTAGGAAGAAAAAAGGTACCCCTTTTTGGTTTGACGGGGCTTATATGGGGAAGCTGAGCCCCAAAAAAAGTGACGAACAGGGCCTACTCTGGGTTCCTAAACACCCCTTAAACCCCACACACCTTACACCCCAAACCCTGAAGCCCCCAAACCCTAAAACCCCAAACCCTTAAACCCAGGTACAAGCTCAAACAACAGGACCCTAAACCCCTAAACCCTAAACCCTAAACCCCAAACCCTCAAAGCTAAACCCTAAATCCTAAACCCTAAACCCTAAACCCTAAGCAGCGTGACTCCTGGCCGCAAACATGGGCATGTAGGCGAATGCCAAAGGGATGAGTGGGATGGTGAAGAGGGCCAGGTAGTGCATGAACCTGGGGGGGGCTTAGGGTTCAGGGTTTAGGGTTCAGGGTACAGGGTTCAGGATTCAGGGTTTAGGGTTTAGGGCTTAGGGTTTAGGGGAAGAGGGCCAGGTAGTGCATGAACCTGGGTGTCGGTTGAGGCATCTTGAGAAGGGCTTGAAGGCAGGGTTTAGGAGTTTAGAGTTTTGGGGTTTTGGGGTTTTGGGCTTTTGGGCTTTTGGGCTTCTATATTTTTGGGCTTTTGGGCTTTTGTGGTTTTGGGCTTTAAGGTTTAGGGTTTCAGGTGTAGCCCAGGCACCCAACTCCGCAGAATTCTATAGAAAGTGGGCTCAGAACTTCAACCTCTGCCTGATGAAGTTTGCTCCCATGTTATCAGCCGTAAACCCTACTTTCACCCGAAACCCCAAACCCATTTTGGCGGTTGCTCTTCTACCAAAAAGCCCAAGCCCAGAAAGCAAAGGCAAGGGCAATAATCCTGCAGCTTAAGACACCAAGCCCTGAACCCCCACAAATAGCCCCTCAACTTCCAAAATGCGCCGCCCTAAACCCTGAACTCTGAACCCTGAAACCTAAACCCTAGACCCTAAACCCTAAACCTAAACCCTTCAACCCAAAACCATAGGCAAGGTATCACACTTTGGCTTCAGGGTTCAGGGTCTAGGGTTCAGGGTTTAGGGTTTAGGCTTTAGGGTTTAGGGTTTAGGGTTCAGGGTTTAGGGCTCAGGCATCCCCGTCGCTTGCATAGCAAGGTGCATGAAGTCATGCAGCAACACCTCCGGGAAGAAGGTGTACATGAAGAACGTGGACACCAGGGCGATACCTTCCCACTCTCTTCGAGTTGCTTGGGGGCCACCCTGACCCCGAAATCTCTGAGCCCTACGCCCGAAACCCTAGGCCCTAAGCCCTAAATCCTAAACCCTAAAGCCTTAACCCTTGACCCCAAACGGGGGTAGGGTTTAGGGTTTAGGCTTAGGGCTTGGGGGTTGGGCTTGGGGCTTAGGGCTTAGGGCTTAGGGCTTCGGGCTTGGGGCTTAGGGCTTACGGCTTAGGGCTTAGGGCTTAGGGCTTGGGCTTGGGGCTTGGGGCTTAGGGCTTCGGGCTTCGGGCTTATTTGGTAGGTAGGGAAAAAACCTCTTACTAAGTCCCTTAATCCTCTAAGTGGTGGGGGAGGGGTGCCGTAGAATGCGAGCTCCGAGAAGAGGTTCTCAAAGCAGGGCACCTGAGCAGACACTCCATTAGGGTTTAAGGGTCTTAGGGTTTTAGGAATTTTGGGATTAGGAGGCTTATATTTGAGATGAAGAAGTTGGACCCACAGTCGGGAAACACAAGGCGCCCCAAACCCTAAACCCTAAACCCTAAACCCTAAACCCTAAACCCCAAACCCTAAACCCTAAACCACGCCCCCTTGGCTGAGCTGAGCGCGGGCATGAACGACAGCACCAAGTAGAGGATCACCGTGAAGACTGAGGCTGTCGTGTGCCTGCCCGGCTCTTTGGGGTTTAGGGTTTAGGGTTTAGGGTTTAGGGTTTAGGGTTTAGGGTTTAGGGTTTAGGGTTTAGGGTTTAGGGTTTAGGGTGCCCCACCCCGTAATGTAGGGTCCGGGATTCAGGGGTTTGGGCTCAGGGCTTAGGGAGCCAGTAAAAACCCTCCGTGTCTCTGTGACGTTGAGATATGGTCACGTGGTCCCTTTGGGGGTGGGGGTCCAGCCCCTCCGGTATCGAAAAGGGAACCTAATTTAAAAGAACTGACAGATGGTGTACCCATGTGCTCGAGACGGGGCCTGCACGCGCCCCGAACGTACCGCTCAGGCTGGGCCGAAGATGAGTCAAGAAGCACTCAACAACTCTAAACCCCTAAACCCGTAAACTGCACCTCGTGAACCCCCCTTAACCTCACAAACCCCATAAACTCATAAACGTCATGTACTTCAAAAACCTCATAAGCCTCACAAACCCCTAAGCCCTAAACCCTAAACCCTGAACCCTAGGCCCTAAGCCCTAAACAAACCGCATCATCCTCATACACTCATTCCTTCCTTCTTGGGTTTGCATTTAACACCGTCTCTGGTGAGGTCCGGTGCCAATCCACCCCAAACCCCAAAACCCCCAAACCCCCAAACCCCCAAACCCCCAAACCCCCAAACCCCCAAACCCCCAAACCCTCCAAACCCCCCAAACCCCGTATGCCGCCTTTTCTTCGCAACGCCTATGGTAGCGCGAGACCTTGATGAGCTATGCTCGACAAGGTCCACATTTGTTCGACGCGAGGGCCAAAACAACGCCATGCCCCCTACTTCGACATGGGTTTAGGGTTTAGGGTTTAGGGTTTAGGGTTTAGGGTTTAGGGTTTAGGGTTTAGGGTTTAGGGTTTAGGGATGCTAAGCCCTTCCAAAGCAAAAGCCCTAAGGCGCAGCAATCA